AAATCAGATTCATACAACAGAACAAGTAACAAGAACATGAAAAGATGAAAACTTTAAAGAACCCCACATACCAGCTCTAACACCAGAGACTACAGCAGCTCTTCTAAGGCCTTTCTTCTTAATAATAAAACTTGTCCCTATGAACACACTTGAAAGCAGAGCCAAAATAATACCTGTCATATTATCTTTAGAGAAAACCATGATTAAAACTTATCTTTCTCTTTTTTCCTTCTTCTTCTTTTTTTTTTCATGGAAATATGAAAATATCAGTTTTTCCTTATTGGGTCATCAAATCACAAAAAATATATATTAAAAATTTGTTTTTTTTTTAATAACACTTGTTGTTCTTGATTTGGCATATGGTATGTGCTGCAAATTTGTCAGATCCAGCTCATTATTCACAAATGGGTCCTAAAGCTGTCCGACTCTTGAATGAAAACTAGCCTTAGATCAATAACCATCCAAGGTGTATATTCATTCTTGATTCTTGATTCTTGATTCTTGTGCATTTCATCACATGTGATTTTATGTTCAATAAGAAAAGATTTTATACTTCAAAAAAAAAAAAAAGAGAAACTAAACTATCTATGTTTAATTAGTTTAATACTTTTTTTTTGGCTTTCCACCCGGTGTTTGGAGCTCCGACTAAATTTGGATCGCACTCTGCAGGGCCTATTCGGGGGTGACGCTCCCAACAGGATTTTCCCCATACCCAGGGCTCGAACCCGAGACCTCTGGTTAAGGGTGAAGCACTCCCACCATTGCACAACTCATGTTGGTAATTAGTTTAATACTTACACCTTGTTTGGTGGTTGTTACCCGTGGTATTGTATTGTTAGTTTAAATACAATGTTTGTTTTGGTTGTTATTTAAATTTTATTGTATCGTATCGTCTAAATTCATGTTAGGTAACAATGAAAAGACTCATTTTATGGAATGACCAATTTGGTGTGATCGCGTCGTTACCTTAATATTTTTTTCTCATTTTATCTTTATTTATTATTTTATAATTGTATTTCATCTTTTATTCTATCTTTTCATAGTATCTCTATCTGTACCCTACTTTTCTTGTAGGTTTATTATTCAAATCATGGACGTATGACATTATATTAGTAGTCATATAATTTTTTATATATATGGATATCTGATTTAGTTATTTAATATAAATAATCGGATAATTAAAAATAATCTCATCCTTTTATTTGGGGATTATTGTTTTTATATCTTGGTACCCAATATCCCTAACATTTTCATATGGTATTATGTAATATCGTTTAGGGAAAATTACGCAGTTAAGCATACTTATAATACTTAATTAGTCATTATAGCTATAGTTTATTTTAAATACCATTTGCCACTAAATTTTGGTTACAATTACGTTGCCGATTTTTTCTATTAGTATAAGCGTATATGTTGTCCCTTTCATATATACATATGATTCTTTCCCTTTCTTCATAATCCTTAACCATATTTTCTCCTTAAATTCCTCAACATAAATCGATTTCAAAATTTGAAAAATTCAATTCTTCTCTCTCAAGTCGTGCTTTCTGATTTTCAGGGCATCTCTTAAGCGGTTTAAGTTTTTTTTTTTAAGACGGTTTCATTCTTATTTTTTTGATTTGTATTTGTATATGCCTGCAATTTCGTATGGTTTTCAGATTTATAGTTAGATACAATTTTTAATTATGGATGAAGAAACATCCAAAATAGCTATGAAAGATATTACGACAAATAATAAGTACAAATCAGCTATGAATTATACATATACAAATATTTAAGTAGAAATCAGTTGTTACTACTCCTTTTATACAATTACAGAAGAAAATAGCTCATTGATACAAACATAATCTCACAGAAAAAATAGTTATCAATCAATTATACATTACAAACACTAATTCCACAAAAAAAATAGAATTATGTGAATTATACATATACAAAATATACAAATATAAATCAGTTGTCACTACTCATTTTATACAATCACAAATGTAAATAGCTAATTTATACCGACACTAATTCCACATAAACTACAGTCATCAATCAATTATACATATACAAAAACTGATTCCACCAAAAATAAAACAAAATTATACATATACAAAATATACCAGTACAAACTACCTTTGAAGAATCTATTTATACAATTACGGACAGAAATAGTTAATTTATACAAACACTAATTTAATGCAAACTACCGTAATCAATGAATTGCATCAATAATAATTTATACAATGACAAATAAAAATCAATTGATACAAATCAATTTATACATTTACGGAAGGAAGGAAAGTCATATTTGGTATGAACGTCTAAAGAGATACTATTCCATGAATTAAGGGATTGTTTACCTTTTCTCAATTAATCAAAATTACCGTCATTATCTTTTTTTTAAATTGAATTTTTATTTTGTATAAAATACCACATAATTGTAAATTATACAAATACACTGGCCCATAGTTATTTAAATTGTAGTTATAGCCTGTAAACATGCAAACTATAGCTAAGGAGTTTAATTAAGCTAGCGTTTGGCCATAGATTTCCAAATATTTTTGGCAAATATTATTTGGGTGAAAATTTGGGTGAAATTTCACCATGTGTTTGGCCATAGTATTTGTGAAATATATTTCACTTTTTAGAAAAATATGATTTATACCCATAAGTTTTAAAAACTATCAAAACTAACCATAAGTTTGTATTACAAGTCAATTAGATCTTCGTTGCAACAAATAACAAGTAGTTTCCATGCCACTAGAGCAATGTGATAGTTTGGAGTGAGTGCAACAAGCATCATTTCATACATCGTGAAGTAGACAAAGCACATGACTTTGTTACCTTGAGCCGATTGTTCATCATTTTCATCAACAACCATATCATCACTTTCATATTCACTGAATATTTCATCACTACTTTGGTGTTCACGTAAAAAATTATGTAATACAACGCAAACAACTACTATAGAGGGTGTTTTTGTAAAAGATAAAAGTTTGGTGTAAAATTTCAATTTTCAAAAGATCCCAAATAATGAGATTTGGCCCAAATACTAGAAAAAACTAGTATTTGGGAATTTGGGATATTTGCCAAATAATGGCAAATTGTATAGACAAACACTATTTGCCAAATTTTTCCCCAAATATTATTTGGGAAATCTATGGCCAAACGGGCCCTTAAAGTTTATTCTCATGGTTATATGTGAAATTTCCCCTATCTTTTATTTATTATTTTTCTTTATTTTCTTTTCAAATATCTACAACTTTTTTCTAATAAGAATAAATTAATTAAATTCAGAACTATAAAATAATAATAATAATAACATAAAAATGAAATAATCAAGAGAAAAAAGACTAATTAAAATTATGATCGAATTTTATCATAATTATAAACTCAATTTTAAAAAGAAAACTTTAAAATAACCCTAATACTAACAAAAAATATACTTTTAAGGTGTAAAAACAATTTTTTTTTGTCTTATTTATTCCTTTTTTCTTGTCTACATTACATTTTTTGAGACACCGTTCTTTTTTGAAAAAGATTATATTAGTAGAAAGCTTAAAGCTTATTTGTGTTAGTAGATCGTTAGTAGTTAATAAACAGTTAATATTTAGATATAAAAATGTAAAAAAAAAAAATTGATCAAAGTAAAAATCTTTTTGGCTAATCATATTTGACTAATTTTTGTTATAGTAAGTTAGTTTGAGTGTTGACTAGCTTATAAGCTGAATCAAACCTCATATAATCATATTATACCTTTGATTGAAAAACATATCCTAAATTGTCTTTTTCTACTATGGAATTTGACTATCAAAATATTCTAAATGTGTATATTTTATAAGGTAAAATTTTATTTGCATCAAATATTTTTATTAAATTAATAAATATATAATATTTATTTTTAGAATATACATAGTCATCAGTCATCACTTAGCTAAATATATATAATCAAATCATTTAACTTTGATAAGTCATATTTATTATTATAAAGTATAAATGTCAATGTGATTGTTAAGTATTTATCATTTGACAGTACATATGTATCCAATTTAACAAGTCTTCCAAATTCTGTCTGTCTAAAATTGGTCAGATTCACCATCAAAGTCAAGTTAGGACAACTAAGAATATTTCTTTTGTTTTTCTTAATAAGTACTCTAATTTTTCCATTATTTCAATTTATTTGATATGTTTTGACTTGATACAGAATTTAAGATAATAATAAAAAAATTGAATCTTGTAATTTTAAATTAAAAATATATTAATATATCAAAATATCATTTAATGTTATAATATTCAACATGCCAAGTAAAAAGTTAAAATTAAAAAAAACACTAAAAAAGAAAAGAAATTCTTTTTCAAAAATAGACTAGAAATGAAAGTACATAAGATAAATAAATTGAAACATAAAGAGTCGGAATTTCTATGATTGATTGGAGGCTTATGTCAGTGTGTATTATTAAAATTCTAATATTCCAATAGTAGAAGGCTCCACTTAAAAAGATGGTGCTGATACAACAACATTTTGTGGCACTGACATTGCCATTTGCCACAATGAAGAGCTGAATGACCCCCTCCCTCCTTTTTTTTTCTTCCTGGTTTTCCATCTAGTGTCTGGTACTCATACTGGAACTCGACTAAATCCGAATGTCCCACATTCAGGATAAAGCGCTCCCTAACAAAGGCGACTCCGTATCCAAGGGAACTCGAACCCGAGACCGCTTGGTTAAAGATGAAGGACTACTTACCACTCTACCGTAACCCTTGTTGGTAGCTGAATGACCCTTTGTTCCACTCCTTTCCTTGTAGTATTTAGGATGATAATAACCTATTCATTCTCATATTTATTTAAGGAAAACTTATCTATATGTACAGTGCAACCAAACTTATTTACAAATATGATCAAAATATACACTAATTATGTATATAGTAACACAAAATGAACAATGAACATGTGCTATGCAGTGATACTTCTGAAGTATTTTTAATGTCATGCATGACATCTGTGCTTGTTGGATTCACCCTTCTTTAGTCATTAGATAAAACAAAGTTTTTAAGTTTTTTACAGAGTAACATCATTTCACTAAGAAAAACAAAATGATATAACTCAATGTATGTAGTAATACATCAATATATTACACAAATAGCTGTATTTTTAACATCAAGTGATTAAAAGTAACAACAGTTTGGAGAAAAAATCTTCATGAGCTCAGCAAGCTCCGAGCAGCTTCCAAACTCAGTTCTTCATCCACCTGAAAGTCGTAAAGTTTTCCAGCGTCAAGTTACAGCACAAGTTTTTAGAAACACACACTTTTACCAAACCCAAACACGGAGAAAGCAGGAAATTTTTTGCTTGAGTTAGTGTACTTACAAGTTTCCTGTAAACTTGTCGAAATGTCTTGCAAAATTCTTCTGCTTCTGCTGGATTCATCTGTGTAAAAAGCCAGACCAAACCATTTGTTTAGTCACAGATGAGACCACGTTTGGTCTTTTCATAGTAGGATGAGATATTGTCAGTTGTCAATGAAGCGGAGTGAAAACCATGTTGATCTAGTGGTCAATGATGTGGAACGGAACTATGGGGGATCAAGGTTTAATGTACAGCATACACAAAAATATTGATTTCTTCCATTAGCCAAAGCTTGGTGGATAGAGCTTTTCGATACATGTGTTGGTAGGAGGTAAGAGACTAGCAGGTACCCGATAGAATAGTCGAGGTACGCACAAGCTAACTCATACACCACCATCAGGAAAAAAATATTATAGCAGGATTAAATATTGCACACAAACCATCTAATGAAGTTCTGTAAAGATGTTCTGTTTAAATAATCTTCCTCAGCAAGATATGGAAAGAAATAAAAAGGCATCCAATGCTTGTTAATTGTTATCACTTTTAAATATCTGTCATTCTCCCCCCTCTGTGAGAACCTTAACCAAGGTGCACTCTAATCACCAGCGTATACCATTTTGCTCATGAGATGACTAACTTAACAAAAGGAGACTCCTTGCTTGGTCATTTAGCAGCTTTTTTTTTTTGATAAGATAAGTGGTATTAATAATAACATCAGGAAGATGCAAAATTTACAAGGTATGGCATTTGAGCTTACAAAAAAATCTCTGGCTAACTATACAAACTATCTAAGCCAGAGCTAATGAGTTAGTAAAATCCTGAAGTTGTTCTGCATTAACAGCAGGATACAAGTTGGTCCAACTAAACAAATTTTCAGTGCACCTAGTCTTCAAAATGCCTAAAGCAGTTGACTTTCCATCAAAACATCTCTTGTTCCTCTCTAACCAAATACACCAAAAAATACAAGCAGGTATCATAATCCAGATCTTCTTGATGGCTTTGTCAACTTTCCATAGACTCCAACTCTCATACGCATCCTTAACAGTGAGGGGTGTGGTCCAATTGATGCCAGAGAGACAAAAAAACATGCTCCATAATTCTGAGGCCACCTCACAATGAAGAAGAAGGTGTCTGGGGTTTCAGCCTCTTTTTTGCACATATAGCATCTGTTTGGGAATTGGATTTTTCTTTTCTTTATGTTGTCTTGGGTGAGACATGCCTCATATAGAGCTATCCAGGTAAAAAAAACTACCTTAGGTGGTAGCTTGGTCCTCCAAATGAGTTTCCAGGGCCAGTTAGCTATCACGGGGTTTCTAGAGCACAACTGTTGATACCCTTCCTTGACTGTATAAACTCCTTTCTGGTGTCCCCATTTGAGCTTATCAGCTGCCTGGAGATTAATGTGACAATGTTGTAGTCTAGCAAAAAGGTCTACCAGATCATTCACTTCCCAATCGTGCATATTTCTTCTA